ACTTCGGAAACGAATGCCAAATTGCATCACTGACTCAGATGGCCCTTGGCGAAGACGATGCAATTGTTGGAAGGCATCATCACAATCGTCGGCATGTCCGAAGGTGCGTTTGAAGACGTCCGGAAGAACACTCCAATCCCCACGAGTGGCCGCACTCAATCCATTGTACCACTGCAATGCCGTCCCTTGGAGACACGTGGGAAACTCACGCAAACGTCGAGCATCATCCCAAGAATGATATGTGGCAATCACCGTGTAGTGATCGAACCAATGGTACACATCATCCCCAGGATTCCCACGAAAGAACTCCGGCTGAACGCGAGGATTGGCACCAAGAGCAGGAGGAGTTGGACCACGTGCCGTGAATGCCGCCATCAATTGAGTTTGGTTGTTCAATTGCAAGTGCATAACATCAAGCAAGTGAACCAACTGCTGCTCTAGAGTTAAAGGAGGAGATTGCGGATCGGCCATGAAGATGAACGAAAAAGAAAAAAGCAAAAGAAGAGAAATGACAAAAAGCTGGAAAGAAATGGTAGATCTAGACAATGCAAAAAGCTAGATCTAAACCAAAATCCTGAAAGGAAAGAACAAAAGAAAGGAAATGGAAAAAGCTAAATCTAGACAATGCAAAAGCTAAATCTAAACCGAAATCCCAAATCCAAGCACTCCCCATGGACAATCAAAGGTGCCCCTCACTTCCACCAATGTGAGTGCATGGAATATGGAACAGAAATACAGAAATGTGCATATCAATTAGCCCAAAAACCCTAGCTTATATACAGGAGCGAGTGGTCTGGATTGAAACCAATCCGACGGCTACCAAAATCCCACTACGCTAATATTAGTATACGGCATTGTAGCCGTACACTTGGCCCTCACAAGTAGAAAAGAGTTTGATGATATTTCTAAATAACTAGAAAATTCTAATGACTGAACAAAAAGAGAAAAAATATATATATTCCGCATCTTCTTGAATTATAGATATATAAATATATATCATAATATAGATATGTATAATTAAATCATATAAGTTAATATTACTTAAGAGTCTTACTAAGTTTGTAAAAAAGTCAAATTTTATGTTGATAGTAATTTACAAAGCTAAGAATAGATACTTTTAATGCTTAACTAATTTTATAGAATTGAAAATTTTGTTATAAATTTTTTTAAATAAAGTATAGCTAAATAGTGAATTTAATTTTAATAATTTTAATAAGTAACTTATAGTCTAATTTAATGGATTCTAAGAACCTTTAAATTCTTAATAAATATTAACTTTTATAGTTGGTAATAACCAATGTAGTTATAATTACCCCTCTAACACCATATATAAACTCTCCAATTAGAAGATGTATAATTTAAATTAAAAAATATTTAACCCTAACTATGAAAAATCTAAATGTTATTCACTTTAGTTGTTTACAATACATAAATTTACAATGAAAATTAAAACCCTTTAACTAATTAAAAAGGGGTGTGCACTCTTATTGATGGGTCTTTTTATTCTATATTTAAACCCCGATAGATACTCTATTAAACTGTCCTTTTTTATTATTTACAGAAATTTATTATTTTCAATATATATTACTAGCATAATAAATGTTATTTTTAGTCTTTATTGTTTTAAAATAAACATTATTATTTTTAAAACTTATTTTATTTTTAAAAATATCCATAAAAAGTCTATAAATATTATATTTTCAAATTTAGTGATATACTCAATTTTGTGCAAGGATTAAAATTTTTAAACCTGATACTCAAACAACTAAGTGGCTTAGTTTTTATGAATAAGGGAACTAAAAGTAGAAATAAAGTAAAAATATTTAATATATTATATAACTAATTTAATAATGTAGTCAATTATGTAACTAATCACATATTTATAATTTTTACATTACTAATAATTTAGTAATTATATTTTTTATAAATAATATTTTAAAAAAATTTAATTAACTCTTTCAGTAAATGAAAATAATTCCTCTATTATGGAACTACTTTAATTTATGGTCTTTAGTAAAACTAACATGCATTTATATAGTATATGGATATTATGAAGAAATATAATATTAGTTTCTTTACATGTTTATTACTACTTGGTAAATACGCTAATATTAATTAGTAGTGTTAACATAAAAGCATGCTAAAAATCCTCCTTAGGTCTACTATAAAGCTCCTGTCTACTTGCTGTAGAAGTGAGTATGTCTGGATCTCTAACCCGTTTGCAGCAGTATTTTATAAAATAGAATCTTGGGAATCTCTGCTGTAATATATTTTTGGTTGATCCCAATCAAGTTATGAAGAACAGGGGCATGGGAGGAGTTCTTTATGTTGTCCAGTCAGTGTCAGAAAAATTGACATTGAGCTCTACCACCTTAGTCTCAAGCAACCATACTATTAAAGGAATTTGTGACTCCGATTAGGAATGTGTCTGAATCTAAAGCCATATCATAGAGATTTTAGAGTCATGAGAGGGTGATGGAGAAGGGATTAAAGATTTTGAACATTACTCAAAAAGAAGATTTTTGAAAAAAGTGGTAGTAGACATGAATGTGGAGAAAGATGAATGGAATGTGGTGTGAGAATGGAAAATGGTTTGAGGAAGATGGCTGGATAGCCTCAAGGTTGAGAATGGTGGTGCAATCTATGATATGGACCTCTGGCAATGATATATTATAAATCATCTTGTGAAAAATTATTGTGAAATCTAGAGCAAGCAAAGGGTTGTCAACATGTTAATTGTCATCATGATTCTTTGCTAATAATAATTTGCAAATGTCTCAAATATGAAAGGTGATCTTATATAATATTCGACATTTCAGCTTTCTCGAATAACAAACCTTTCCTCATTAACACTTAGACCCAGATGAGCAAATTGTGCCCAATACTAAAAAGGTACTATCAAACATTTATGTCCACTTACCTTAATTAAAAAAGACATGAAAGTACTTAATTTAGACACTTTTACTGGTATCATATGGTAGGATATCCATCTAGCTACTAATGTCTTGTCTTCTTTGGCAAATCCAAATTCAAATGTGCCTATGTGTGCACAAAACAATAACAAAAATAGTGTTGAATAGTCAAGCTAAAGGTGAATATCTTGAAGAAGATACCAATAGATATAAATTCTTTGGCAGCTAAAACATATAAAACATTATATCAACGATGGGAAAGTTACTGCTTTGCCTCCTCTTTCTTGCAGTATTTGCATTTTCTCAGCCACCAGCACCACCAGCACTTCGAGCTAGTGTGATCTACACTGCAAACCCCTATGTTCTCAATGCAAATCAATTTTCCCGCATTCTAAGAAATATTCTAAGGTATGCCATTGTGTGGTTCCAAGATGGCGAAACTTATCCAGTTGGGGTGAGAATTTTAGTTGTCAATTTCAGGCGATCCAGGTTTAGAATCATAGTTAATCTACATATTTTAGCTCCAGGAGCTAATGGCCCAGACACCCTTTTACCTTTTACCTGCACCACTGACCCGACCAGTCCCTTTGGCTTTCGAGGCCAAGATTTAAGAAATATATTTCAAATAATTGTAGGATCCATACAACAAAATGCTAGATCAGATCCAGACGGGAGAACATTTTGTGGAGAAATCAGGGTTGTATTTTTAAATCTTATCATTGAATATGCCTTCTCAGCCATCCTTCCTAATGAGGGAGTACTACATGCGAGTTTTATGTCCACATTAACATCAAATTACAGTCACAACCATCCTTTGCAGGTAATCCGTTTAGGGAGGAGTGATGATCAGGATGATCAGAACTGTTGGCCATTCTCATCATCGCTCTTTGGCCATAAGGCGGATAGAGTTGGTTCTCATATCAAATCTGGGAACAGTTTAGTCTCGCCAAATCGAAAGTTTAGACTAACCATGCAGATAGATTGCAAGCTAGTGTTGCGTAGGATTGGCGAGAATCCCATACTTTGGATTAGCCAACATAAGTATAAACCTGGGCAAGGTTGCTACGCGCATTTGCAAGAAGATGGTAACTTTCTTATCAAAGATGACAAGGATTCTATTTACTGGGCAATTGATAGATATTGCAACCCACAGCCCTTTTGCAAGGTCACAACTACTTTAGTTGTTACCAATGCTGGAAATGTTTTAGTCTTTGATGGGGAAAATCAAGCCCTCTGGAAGGCTCTGGAATAAAATCATACAATTCACAAACTCTCTACAGAGCTTACTTAGCTCGCTAGTTGGAGTATTTTCTCTTTCGCCTCTCTCCACCGCTGCTTCCACTCGTCTTGATGGAGGAGGAAGAAGGTTGATGCGGGAGGACGAGCAGTGATGGTGGCGCTGGAGCTGGAGATGGAGCGGCGTGACCAATGTGCTGGGGAGCCGGAGGAGCTGGAGGAGCCGATGGTGGCGCCGCTACTGCTGCTGTCGATGCTGGCGCTGTTGCTGCTTCTGGCATTGGACGCGGAAGGACGTGCTTGAGACGATTGCTGCGGTAGTGCTTCCAAAAGTAGAATTGTTGTCTGTGTGCTAGCTCCTGCGCACAGCCAGATGGATTAGAGATGAAAAGACAGTTCTGTGTTACCTTGTTGGCTGGGTGTACCATTGCAGCTCTGAAGTGAGAGCTTTGGAGAAGCTCGAGAAAGAACAAGCAATGAGGGTACCTGAGCAAGGAGTCCGTGAGCTAAAACAAACTCAAGGAGCTAGCGAAGTGTTGTCAGAGTTTTCTCCAAAACAAGCTTACATTATGAATTTCGCGTACTCTGGGCGACGCCAATACTGCAAGTACTTGAGATAATTTACAAACGCTTCATCGTCAAAGTAACGATTCTGGGCGAGGTCTGCAAAAGGCAACAATCACCCATCAGCGATCACAAAGCCAAAGCAGGGAAACAATACGTACAGTGAATGTAGGTCGGGTTTGCGAGGCACTGGACGAACTCCAGCTCCAACAAAAATCTCTGCCGCCCTCCATCGACCTCTTCACCACTCTCCATTGCTAAACCCTACACATCTTGGAGCGCATATTCTTAGCATATTTTAAATCGCTTTATTTCTCTGCAAACACGACAATTATGAATCGTAAACCAGGAGCAAAAATCTTACCTCTGTTCACTCTTTGGAACGCCATTCTTCTCGAATCTTTACGCTAAAAAATCTGTACAAATAAATCTCTATAGATCGCTATACTTCATCTGGGTGTACATGCTGAGCAAAACAAACAATCAATTACACTTGATAGAGCCAAGTAAAAATCCTTACCGCGAAGCTCGCAATGTCGTGCTTGACTTCTAGTAAATCCCTCACAACGTCGTAAGTCATACTCTCGGCCTGAGCTAGCTTCGTGTTCAGCATAAATACCTGCAAGATTTTCCCGAGTCACGAAAGTGAGTGAATGAGCTCTTCACGTTTCTACCTCTTTCTCACGAACTGTGGCCGCGGCCTCCAACTCCTCGATCCGTCTCTTGTTTGTGGAGTGCTCTTCATTACTTACCCCTAGTCCAATACACTTGAACGGGGAGCCCGAGCCTTTTGCTTTGACACAGGCCTTTTCTGGTGCACGCTGGCACGGTTTTGGCATACATCTCGTCTCCAGTGACGCTTCTAGTCGCTTAATCTGTGAATACAGCACAAGTTTAAGCTAGTTGTTCAAACGAATTCTTTTCACCTTTCTCCGGTACGCGCTAGCTTCTTTAGTAGCTGTGTCCATAAGTTCCGACACATGCTTGCGCAAGGAATTTATCTGCAAGGAAAACATCAGAACAGCAATGGAAAGAATGAACACATACCTGGACGTCTTTTAGAAGGCCCTCCTGCCGAAAATTTTCTAGTTCTTCGTCCAGGCGTAACAGCTTAATCTTGTCAGCCGAAATACTGGTAAAGAGTAAGTGATCAGACACACTCAGCACGTAAAATGAATACAACGTACTCAGAGTAGTCTGTCGCTTGAACTAGCATCTTGGTTCTGGATAGCTCTGCCCTTAGTCTCTGCACTTCCATTTCCATGTCTTCCTTCATTATCTTCTGCATCTCTCCATCCCGTTTAATAAGACCGATCTGAACGAAGACGGGTTAAAAACTTGCAGACAATAGTCCCCATTTTACCTGATTTTCCATAGTAGCGATCGTACTTTCTAGCTCCTGCACAGACCGCTCAAGAACCTTGACCTCCTCTTCTTTATCAGTGGAAAGAACTTGGCATTCCTCCGCTACCTGCAAAAGGCACGCAGATTAAGTATGAACCACATTTTCCTCAAGCTCAAGTACCTTGCGAGACTTCTCTGCCACCATTTCTAGTTCATCCATAGCGAACCGCGCTTTTTCAAGCTGCTCCTTGACCTTGCATAGCTCGGCGTGAAGTTCATCCCTTTCCAACAAAAGGACGCCCGAATCAAAATCCCCCTGTGACTGCAAAACTTTTCTTTCCACCAGGGAGCTCATATCAAGCAGTTCCGAATCCAAGCTCTGAATCAGATGTCGCTTATCTTCAAGGTCCTCCTCCAATCTTGTGTTCTTCAACTCTAACTCTTCAATAAGCCTTTTCTGTGATCTGTTCTCCGTCGACAGGTAGCCCGTGGTTTCTTTCAAAGTTCGGAGCTCGTTCTCAACCGACGTGAGTGTTTTCAGTAACTTAAGAAGCTCAGCCTCTGCACCATTGATCTCGTTGGTTTTTATGTCGAGCTCTTCTTGCATCCTGTTGTTTTCGTCCTGGAGTTCGATCTTCTTTTCGTGTGCTTCAGAGAAAGCCTCCTGCAGTAGGCTGATATCGTACTCTAGACCCTTGACAAGCTCGTTCTTCCTGCGGATTTCTCCAATCAGCAAATCCGTCTCGTCCATCATCTCGTACATCTTGTCTCTCAGTTCCACGAACTCGCCCCTGACATCGTCGCCAAAACTGAATACAGTTGACATGATATCTGTCAGGTTGTCTTGGATAGCCTGCATTGTAGTCTGGACTTCATGCTCTGCGTCCGTGATGGCGTCGACCGTGTCGCACGTAATCGTTCCAATCTCCTGCTTGATAACCTGCAAGTCGTTTTTCGCCTTATCAAGCTTGCAGCTGAGAGCCCTCTCTGGTATGGCAGCTACTTCCGACACAGATCTTCTCACGTCACCGTGTGCACCAGATTTGGCAATCTCGTTGGCCTTGACAAGTGCGTTGAGCAGCTGCTCGGCCTCCTGAAGCATATGCTGACTATCCTTGAACTTTTGTAGTATGGTCGCCGTTTCTTTACTCTTGGCCGCAGCCTCCAGCTTCGCTTCAGTCAACTCCACCAGAAGCTCCTCTTTCTCCAACCTCCAGTCATTTTCCTTGCTTTTGTCCACCTCGACGCTATTGCCTCTGCTTGCCAGGATATAGTTTCGTGTCAGCTCGCGGACCACTACGAACGCCACGTACGCCTTTTTCTCTGCTTCTCTCAGCTGCTGGTGGTACGCGTCAACTTGAACCTTCAGCTGATCTGCCTCCGATACCTGTTCCTTCTGGTGGTCGCTTATGGATTTCATTTTCTGTTCAGCTTCTTTGGCAACACATAACGCCTGATGGAGTTTGTCTTGGAGAGCTCCAATGTGTGGACTGTACTGTTTCGAAACCTCCATGCTCTTTCCATGAAATGACTCGCGTATAATATCCTCCATTTCCTTTGCAGCAGCTACAAGTGCTTGGTCCCCCTCGGCAAGAAAGTCGAACACCTTGGACGTGGCATCCTCGCACTGTTCCTTGATCTCCCGAACTTCCGTATCTCTTTCTTGAAGTAAACTGTCATACGCTCTAGCCAATCTCGAGTTCTCTTCTGTAAGGCTGTCGGACTTGAGCTTTGAGTTTTCAAGCTCCTCAACCAAGCACGCAACTTGATCGTTAGCAGTCTTGCATTCCTCCCGTGCCTTAGCAAGCTCCTGGTTCATGCTTGCAATAGCATTTGCCGTTTCAGCTTCTACTTCGGATCGTGTATCCTCCATCTCTTTCTCATGAGCTAGCCTCAAGGCTTCTTCTCCTTGAAATAGTTGATTCCGCATACGAGCATCCTCAAGCTCTCTTCTCGTCTTTTGCAGCTTCGCCTCGAGAACCTGTTTCTCTTCATCGTCAACGTAGCCGACAAGAGTTTCAGCAGAAGCCCGAATCTCAAGTTCTCTTTCCAAATCGTGGAGCTCGTTCTTTTTCTTCACTTCCCAGTTAACTAGCCGGAGTTGGTCCTTTGCTTTCTGCTCCCGGGCTTCAGACTTCGTTAGTTTCTCAGATAGCTTATTGTGCTCTTCCAGGGACGGTTCGAACTCGCTAATCAGAAAAAGCTGCTGGCTCTCCATTTGCTCTTGTACCTCTCTGGCTTCCTGCAAATGTGAATTAAGCGAAGATTCGCAACACTTATTCAGCAAACCTTTAATTGTTTCTTTAGCTCTTCTATTTCAGAGCAATAGTTTTTAGAACAGTCCTCCAGACTTCTTATCCTCGTGGCTTGTGCTATTCTGCTTTCCTCGCTCTAGAAAAGCGCAAGTGAAGCAAATTAAACGAACAGAAGCCGGGAAGTTGTTACCTCCTTTAACAAGGCTTCTAGATGAGTCATGCTCTTCTGATGTTTTCGTTCCAGGAGTTCAATTTCCTACATGAACATCACCTTCGAATTCAGTGCAAGAAGGACATGCGAACGTATACCTTCAGATGTTCTCTCGTTTTTTCTTCATTCTTTTCCTGTGAGGGACAGGATGCAGCTTCAAGCTCGGCAATTTGCCTACTGAAAAAGGAAGACGACGCATTAATATGAGAAATGTGAACGAAAATACCTCCTCAAATTTTCGTTCTCTAGCTGGTACTCCTGTAATTTCCTCTGATAACTGGCATTCTGACATGAATTTAACTCTAGCTCAGCTTCAAGAGACTCCCTCTGAATGGAATAAGTTTTTAATCTTTAAATTCGTAAGTGAAACGTGAAAAATAGATACCAGCTGGTTAAGCTTCAAAAACTCAGCCGATAAAAGAGTGTTGATGTCTCTTCTTCTCTTGGGAGTGCATCTCTGTAGTTATCAATGAATCGCAGCCCTTCCTATAACAAATGAATTTTATTACCTTTCGATGCTCACTAGAGAGCACATTGTCAGCGTCACAATCCTCGGAGGATGGAGATGTACATGTCCCACTAGACTGAGAGCGTAAGCGGTTCACCTCTTCCTGAATGAATCATCACATACAGATGAAGGATAAAAACCGAACACGCATACTTTGAGTTTGTAAATTTGTTGTCGTAGAACATTAACATCACGCGATGTATCTTCGTTTACCACGGCCTGCCCCAAACGAGTATGGAGTAAAGCACAAACTTTCATAAAACGTACATTATTGCAGATGAACTTCGCCCTTTGTGCAAACTTTAACGTGCTTAGTGTGTCCAAGGAACAGCTGCAATAAAATGCTTAACACGAAAACAGTAGCAGTAAATCGTACCAGATCGAAGGACTCACGGTGCTGATTATCATTGTTTTAGAGTTCCCTCCTAAGGAATCCTGTTCCAATATTATCAATAACAGATCAAAGAAAAATAATGGACTCGACTAAACCTGAAGAAGATACGTAAGCTTTGAATCACGATATGGAACATGTCTTTGCTTTCCATTAGCAACGTCCACTAATACCATAATGACGAGCCTAGAGAAAGAAACATAAGCAGATGATGAACGAGTTTTCGAATCATGCTCACCCAAGCGTTGATAGAGATTTGTTGATATTCACAGCCTCTTTCAACCTATCATTTTCAGCGCCCGAAGACTTCTGCCTGCAAGAGATTCAATCAACCCCGTAAAGCACGAACAACGTACCTCTCAGAACCAGCTAGATCAACCAAGTTTAGCCTTCCGTATCTTCGATTAATTACTGCCTCTCGTTCCCACTGTAGAAGACGTTTTAGTGAAAATTGGTGTACTACAAAATGCATACCGTGCTTTCGATAACGCAAGTCAAAACACTATGCGAGCGGCTACTCTCCCTGTTCATATTCGTAGCAGCAACCTTGCGGTTAGATGCTCCCTGTAAGTAAAAACATGAATGCCATTTAAGTCTTAACCGGGGCTTGACAAAAACCTGAAGCAGAAGTTGCGTGACATCTTTCAAGCAGTTGACTTCAAACTCTGAAAGGCTTTCGACATAAACACCTTTCCTTGCATCCTCTCTCACTTGCAAGTTCGTTGATGAAGGTTCGAGAAGATCAGTAATCTGTTCGTTGTAGATTTCCAGGAACGAGCATCTACATGTATATCTAAGGTTTTCGTCTTTACGACCTTGTTCTTCCTGAAAAGAAAAACATTAGAGGCTTCAAAACTTACCCAGAAGGATAATCTTGCCTTTCGGATGGTAGAAAATAGGTGCTCAAAAGCTCGAAGAATCAGACCACGATTCTCACTATCTTTGCTAGTGATATCACCAAGCATGGTATGCGTCTTGCCACTACCAGTCTGCATTTTCCATCTTAATTTTAAATACTAAGACAACGTAATAAAAACAGCAGACCTGGCCGTAAGCAAACACACAACTGTTGTACCCTCGCATACAATTTTCAACCATAGGCATTCCAGCAATTCTAAAGAGCTTATCCTGCCATGTCAAACGTTAGAAAGCAAGCTAGACAACGTAGCTTGATCTACCTGAGTGATAGCCTCGCACGCAACATGATCAAATGTGAATCTGGTGTCCGGATTTCCGAGCCAGGTTAAACTATGAGCACTATCTTGCCTGATGCATGTATCATATCCTTCTGCAGCAATCTCGTGGCTACTCAGTGGTCGAATTCTTATAAGCACCTGAAAAACACGCGGGAAGTTGCAAAACCGAGGAAAGAATGGAACTTTCAGCCAGAAGAGAAAGTGACAATGATATAAAGTAATACCTGGACACTGTGCTCCAGCCAAAACGAACTGTCTTCCTCGAGATCAAAAACGGGTTGGCAGTCTGGATGGACGGCCGCAGAATTAAAAACTTTAGAGCTGTTATGTCCTGCCCTCTGTGGAGTGGAAGATCCATACTTCAGAGATTTGGAGATGATCTTCCTGGGCGTGGCCGCATCATTGCTGCTTCCGGCCGTAGAATGGCAGTCCTTCTCGGGCTTTGAGCTACGAGGAGTACCTGCCTTATGCGTGCTTTGATGAGGGTTCTTGGGTATCCCTGGCTGCTGTGGGCGATGACTCGCTGGCTCACTCTCGGCTCCAAGATTCTTGACTTGTCTCTGGTACCAAGAGAACTTTCCCTTCGGTCGCTTCTCGGGAGTAATCAAGAGATTCTCCGGGACATTCTCGGAATGCGGGAACACGGTCGCGAAGCTCATGCTACTGCCCTTCTTCCCTCGGGGCGTGGCGCTGCTGCTAGGGCCTGTTTCTTGGTGATGCGAGGACGGGAGCTCGTGTTCCAGGAGATGATCGCGATCCGTGTGGCCGCTTCCCGGATTATGCTTGGCCCCGCCTCTGGGAGAGCTCCCTATGAGCATCCGGAGAGGAGAAACCTTCGGCATTCTTGAATCCTAGCAAAATCTACCCCTACACTCGCTGCTACCTCGCGCAAGGCGCTGCCGCTGTCGCAAAACAGACCCCCGGCGCTCGATCGAGCGCACCCTGGCCTGCCACGAAGAACCCTAAATCGGCAGCGTGGGCGCCTGGCACGCTGCAACAAATGCCCCAGTGACTGAGTCCGGGCATTTTTCGTCTGGGCCTAGATTTCCATGGATGGGGCAGGTTTAGGGCTTTAGTTCCTTTGCACGAACGCAGATCGCGCGGCTGGATTTAAAAGCTCGCAATCGAACGGCTGTCGTGCACGGGCGGCAACGGTCGATTGTTGTGGGACCCAAGACTTTATTTTTGGCCAGAATCGAAACCGAAACCACTGGCACCAGCTTAATTAATCTGGTAGCGTGCTTTTAACATAACCAAAGAATACTTTATTTCCATGCTTTCTTTCCACGGAAGTTCTTCGTCAATCTAGCCTTGGATTTTCGATGCTCGCGAGTTCGAGCGGATTTCATGCGCCGAGCAGCCACTGGGAGGTTCTTTTTCTTCTCTTTTTGGCGATTACTCAAGCCTCCGGTCTAAATCCAAACAAACAAAATCTAACGAGTGAAATAGCGAATGAAAAACATACCTTTCGTTTCTTTACTGCTGCTCGTGAAGTATAGGTGCCTCTGTCGTCCCTTCCGGCCTTGGACGAAGCAATTCTCTCTTCTTTGCTTTGCTTTCTTCGTATGTTTGCCTGCAAAGTAAAGCAATACAGAGTGAGCGCTTCGTGCTGAAAGAAAGAAATGAAGAGCTTACCTCTAGTTTTGAAGGATCAAGCGGACGTTGGTTTTGTGACTCCGAAGCGATTTTCCTAAGCCCGTGATTGGAGAGGGCATTTTCAGCTTCTCGCTTGGCCTAAAAAGGAAGGAAAAAAGAAAAAGTGAAGTCAAAGTGGTACCGAGTGATGATAAGTACCTGGATCTCTCGAATTCGTCGGAAGTCTTCGTTTGATAAAATGCCATCGCCAGAGACCTCGTCATCCTCCAGTTTGCTACCCGCAAACCTTTTAAGTTGGCTCAAGCTCATGTCGTCAAGGTTTGATTCCTCGCCGTCCATTTTCTTTCGCTTAAGCGTCGCAACCTGTTTCATTTCGCCATTCTTCAGTTTCTTTTCCAAAGTCTCGGGCACATCTTCATCTGACCCTTCGTTGTCATCTCCACTGTCTTCATCATCTTCGCCTTCGTCATCTTCTTCGTCTTCTTCGTCGTTGTCATCTTCTAGCTCTTCTCCACTGCCTTCACCCTCCTCCTCGCTACTTTCTTCTTCCTCTTCTCTTCCACTTTCGTCATCTTCGTCTCCACACTCTCCACTATTGTCTTCGTCCTCCTCTTGCTCCGCCAAAAGCTCTACGCCCGGCACGTCGGTGTGAACAATGACTTTACCAAAAGCCTTTGGTTCCACGGATAAATCAGTGCCGCGACCACGGTGCTTCTTCATTAAAAGTGATGGATTAACCTGTCAAATAAAAATTTGTGTCTTTAGTAAAGACTTCCAGGCACTTAACTAACCTGGCGATAGAGTCCAATGATGGAGTTCGCAGCGGCAGATACTGCTTTTTCTCGGGATTTTTTGTACATTGAAAGATCTTCAAGAAGGTCTCTTGTCATGATCTGCACGAAAGAAAAAACGGTGAGAAAAGGAACGAGACTTATGATACGATGATCTCACCAGTGGCATCCGAGCACAAATCTCACGAACGGTGTTTAGACCGACGGCAATAACCTGCGCTAGTCCATCAGCAACATAAAAACCATGAAAGATAATTTACCTCAGGCCGCGAGCGATCATGCACAAACGAGTTCACCAGTTGCTTCAGCAATGGTTCTACTGCATCAACTGGAACCTAAAACAAAGTGTCAGAAAGGAACTAAAGCGTGAGTATCGGCTCACCTTATCGTGGCATGCCTGAACTGCGGCCGCAAGCAGCTGAGTTTCATCTTGTTGGTGAGGCTGCAGGGAAGTTATAATATTAAATCGGAATAGGGAACTAGTCCGCAGACTTACCGACACATAGCGCTGTAAATGAGGATAGAAACTGAGTAGTAAAAGCTGATGCATCCCCACGCATCGCGAAATAACCATAATCATCATAAGTTTCACCTATAGAAACAAAGACATATCACCATCTATGAATCCCAGAAGGTTTTCTTACCTGAAATTTCTCGTTACAGTTTTGCAAACGCGCAAACAACTTCTCCGCGAATTCCTTGTTTCACAATACGTAGTGTTTTAGCAACTTCCGAACCGAGGTGAAAAACCAGTGACTAACCTGTGGATCTCGCAGATGCTCGAGAGGTGCAAAGCTTCCTTTTTTTTCCTCCTGCGCTTTTATCCGCTGCTGTTTTTTCAAGCTACGGATGGCCCTCTCTATCTTAGCTTGCTTCTTCTTCTTGCTCGAAACCGTGCCTTTGTGTTGTGACTAGAGTTCACCGAAATCGAACATTTCAATAGTGCGTGATAAATCAGCCAAACCTTACCTTGTATATGGCTTCCTTGCTCACACCAACAGCTCCCGAGGGTGTGTCATCTTCTTGATCGGACTCGTCGCTGTCTTCATCGTATTTATTTTCGTAGCCATGAAGAAATTTCAAGGTAGCTATCATAATTCTACGAAAACAGTGTCAAAATGGCAGCTTGAACTTAAAGAAAACTTGAGCTGAACTCACCTCGGAGACTTGTGGAAACAAGCGTTGCAGATGGCATTCGCAGTTTGCGGATCAATCCACACCTTTCGCCTGTAGAGCTCGCAAGTCAAGACGAAAGCATGCTTTGCACGAGCTTCATCGTCTTCCTAAACGTTTTAATGTCGGTGAGCGCTCGAAGCAATAAGAAAGTAGAAAAGTGCATACCTGGATTACTGGAAAGATGATGTTCTGCAAGGACCTGTTCTTGGCTTCGTTCCTGTGCTTGCGATTCATGCGAGAGATGTTCTGCAAAAGGTGGGAGGAGACAAACTTTTTGAGATTTTTGTCTCCTGAGGATTGAAGCTTTATCATCACTGGCAAGACTTCCACGAGAGAAATTTTCTACCAGAAAAACGAAAGGTTAAAGACCTTGTGTAAATTTTTTTTCACTTCCTTACCTCTCGATTGCGAAGAAGAATGAGAGCTTGCGCAAGGTGACAACGCAAAGACGATGGAAGACGATTGCTAGCATTCTTGAGTAAATTGAGTAGCTGATGCGGAAATCCAGCCAGCTGCTTGGGATACGAGGGCGTAACATGAGCTAGAAACATCGCCATATCGCCCAGCTCCTTGGCGGCCGCGTGATCGGGCGCCAGAGCGGCAAACGAAACGTTCCCATTCCCAGCATCCGGCGCCTCCAGTTCAAGAACACCCAAGCACGCCTTGAAATGCCGCAGCTGCAAATCGAGCTCTGCCTCATACCCGCCGGGATCCTCCTTCATTCGCGATTGCAGCAGCAGCAAATCGGCGTGCGGAGTCACCTCCATCGCGCACTCCAAGAGCCCTAAAATCAGACCAGAGTGATAAACCCTAAACTCTCATTGGACGGCTAGCATTTAATTCCAAGGTTTATTCTCCTTTATTCCCACCGATCGAACGGTCACTATTCATCTTTAGCAAAAATCTTTGTACACAGACACCTAGCTTTAGAATGCCGATCCACTTCCCCTTCTCTGCCCGAGCAACACGTCCTTGGCCTCGTTGATCTTCGTCGCGAGGTAATCGCTCCCTCCAGCATCTGGATGATTCGCGACCATCACTTTCCTGTGCGCCTCTTTGATCTTCTCCTGTGCGACGCTTTCCCTGTCCGCCAGAGCTTTGGACTCGAATCGAGAGAGGAAAAACCCTTACCTCACGCCAAGGATCAGCGCGGCTTCTCGTCTCGTCATCGTCGGCTGGAAACCGCCCTCGTAGAATTTTCGCAATCGCGGCACTGCCGGTCGCGTCCGGAACGCGTGCCATGCCTCAACCCCATACTTCCCAGCTATCGCAGCTGCGGCGATCGCAACTCCAGCAATGAATGGCGTAGCCTGCGACATTGGGGCATCAGCACGCTGATCGATCGATCCCATTCACTCACCATACTTCCCTGGCGAAGCGCGCTTCGCTCGCTCGTAATCCCTAACCCTAAAAACGCCATAGCCAGAAAATGGACGGCGGAGATCTTTTGAGCAAGAACCCTAAGCCCTAATTTCTCTTGGCGAGGCGGCGAGAGAGCGATGGCGCAGCGGCTGACTTACCGGAGGCGCCACAGCTATGCGACCAGATCCAACCAGACCAAGGTCGTGAGAACGCCAGGTAAGTCTCTCCTCCCTCTCTCTCGCTCTCGATCGATGCATTCTCACGGATTTCTCTCAGGTGGGCGTCTCGTCTACCAGACCGCGACGAAGAAGGCGAAGGGGCCGCGATGCGCGATCACCAAGAAGCCCATCATCGGGGTAAGGCATTCTCGATTCTCTCGCTTTCTCGCCGCTTAGCGCTAGCTCTTTGATCTGTGGTAGGTTCCTCGTCTAAGGCCGATGGAGTATAAGCGCTCTCGCATTGCCAGGCACAAGAAATCCATCAGCAGGGCCTACGGTGGATCCATGTCCGCGTCGGCAGTGCGCGAGAGGTAAAGTATCGATCGATCTGTCAATGGGATCTCTCAAAAAATACTTTGGTTCTTCCAGGATCATGCGAGCTTTCTTGGTGGAGGAGCAAAAGATCGTGAAGAAGGTTCTCAAGGTCCAAAAGGCGAAGGAGAAGCAAGCCGCCAAAGCCCAAGCTTAGAACGATCTAAAGAATGTGGCCTCTTTTTTTGTTTGAAATTTTAAAGTCTCGACGTTCTCGTTCTTAGGGTTTTAGATAGGGTTCTTGCGGAGGTCTTGATGGCGCTGGGGAGAGCGCTCGCCTCCGCCGCGAGGAAAGCTGCTGCCGATTCCATTCCAAGATCCTACATTGCGTCTCGATCGGTGACAAGGTGTAGATATTTCGTGTTGTTTTCGATTCCATAGCCTGAGTCTCGCAGATTTCGAGCTGCTGCCTCCGCCGCGGCGCATTTCTCCATCCCTTTCCACAATGCGACCGCGCAAGCTCGTTTGGTCGCGAGATTGAGCGCTGGAGGGAATTTCACTTCGTTTGCGTTGTTTCAAGGTACGTGAAATCGTGAAATTTTTTTCTTGTTTTCCTGAGCATTCATGCATGGGAGTTCGTATGTGGAATTTTTTTCCAAATCTTCTATGTTCATGCCAAAGTATTTGTGTGTGTGTTCGTGTGTGTAGATGATGAAGGCACATAGTGATGTTTCCAGCGCCCCTAAATGACACTGCAATTTTTTTTACCTGCTTAGATGATCTTGATGACACCTGATGGTGCGGCTGCCTTGACGAATTGTTCTTGATTGCTGGAGAGGCTATAGCTGCTTTTCATCTTTCATTTCTCTTCTCGTTTTGAAAAATCTCTCACTTTTTCGGCTCTCATGATCGCGGTGTGTTGTTAGAACTCGGCTCAGCGCAGCCTCGATGATTCCCGGGGTGAGTAAGCCATCGCGTCATTTTGTCCAAAGATGACTCTTAAACGTTTTTGAAATTCAAGCTGAGATTGTTTCATTAAGGTTCGCTATTCATTCATTGGGTTTTACTTTGCACAAGTTGGGCCCGTCTGGAATGGTTCTTCACTTTCACTGTAGGCACAAATGGTGAAAGCCAATACTGAGGAGCAGCTATGGCAGCTATTCTTTGAAGACCCATCTTCCTGGTGGGACAATAGAACTGTGAAGGTACTTCTTGGTTCTATCTCATAAGTACTGAATAGATATCTTCTGTCTCTTTTCCTTTTCCAGAGTAATCCGAGATTTCCAGACTTCAAGCATGCAACAAGCGGAGCTAGTCTCTGGATCAATTCCCGGACTCCCAAATGGGTGGCACCAAAACTGTCGACTCTGACTCAGACATCGTGCAGTGAAGTTCAGTTCCGAAAATCATGTGTTGGAAGCTCGGTGAGGAAGAAAGAAGTTGGCAAGCACTCGCTGGCGGCATATCTCAAATTGCTAGACGATGGAGTAAAGCCGGCTACTGGGTCAATCCTCGCTGCGTTGAAGGTCTGTAGCAGCTCACGAGATCTCCAAGCGGGTAAGAAGATTCATAAGGACGTAGTTGACAGTGGTGAACTCTCCAACATATTCATCTCTAACACTTTGATTGACATGTATGCAAAGTGCGGGAGCATGGCTGAGGCTCGGCAGCTGTTCGACAGCATGAAGCACCGCGACGTAGTTTCATGGACTGCAATTGTCCAGGGATATGCAAACTCTGGGGAAGGGGAACTGGCTCTCAAGCTTTATTCAAGAATGCAAGAGGAGGGCCACAAATCCAACAGAGTCAGCATCCTGGCTGCGCTGAAAGCGTGTGCTAGTCTGGCAGAGAAAGAGGACAATGAACTTCTCGGTGGCAAACATCTCAAGGTGAAGTGCCTGGGAAGGGTCAGAGCTTTACACTCTCAAGTAACTGGCAACGAGGCCGAGCTGGACCTTTTCGTGGCGAACAGTCTGATCGATGTTTACTCGAAGTGTGGGAGCATGGCAGATGCTCAACAGGTTTTCGACAAAATCCTGCATCACAGTGTGGTCTCCTGGAACAGCCTTATTCAAGGTTATGCCGAAAGCGGACAGGGTGAACAGGCACTAGAGTGTTACGAACTTATGCAACGTAGAGGCTTCAAAGCGGATACAGTGACACTCGTAGCAGCGTTGAAGGCCTGTGCTTGTTTGGCAGAAGGAGAAGAGAGAAATGGGAAGTTTGTCAACCTCCACAGAGTGAGAGCCATTCACACTCTAGCGGCTAGCAACTGTTTGGTGGACGTTGTCCTGGCGAATACTCTTGTTGATTCTTATGCGAAGTGTGGGAGCATGGTGGATGCTCGTCAAGTTTTTGAGAAAATGGAGCAGCATACCGTGGTTTCGTGGACAGTACTCATTCTCGGGTATGCTCAGAACGGGGAAGGCGAAGTGGCACTGGAACTTTATGCTCGTATGAAAGACGAAGGTTGTGCAGCCAACCTCGTGACAATCCTGGCTGCTCTCAAAGCATGCACAGGTGTTGCTGAGAAAGCGTTCTCTTCAGGAACAGTTGCCAGGACGGAGTGCATTTGGAAAGGCAAGAGTATCCATGCTGAAGCTGCCAGAATTAGCGTGGAGATGAACCAGTCTGTGGCGAACACTCTGGTCGACATGTACGCGAAATGTGGCAGCTTGGAAGATGCTCTTCGAGTTTTCCAGTTTATGAGGCGTCACGACGTTGTCTCCTGGAACTGTCTCATACTTGGTTTTGCCAAGTGTGGCAACGGAGACGCGGCTCTTGAGATGTTCTCGTGCATGAGGGACGAAGATCATCCTCCGGATCGCATTACTTTTATTGCTGCTTTGAAGGCCTGTGCGAGCTCTGCTGAACAAGAAGAAGCCAAGCTCGTCGACGGGAGAGCTGTGAAGCAAGAGTGCTTACAACGAGGCAGGGCTATTCATAAGAGAGCTGCAGAGAGCCTGGACATACTGGATCCGGCAATGCTCAACACGCTGGTGGACACGTACGCGAAGTGCGGAAGCATGGGGGATGCTCGGCAGGTGTTCGAGAGTATGCAGGAAAGGAGCGTTGTTTCTTGGAACTGCATAATTCTGGGATATGCACAGGCAGGAGAGTCCGAGATTGCTCTACAGCTTTATGCAAAGATGAGAGACGACGAAAACTCGTGTTTGCCAGACGCCGTGACTTTCACAGGTGCTTTCAAGGCTTGTGGTGCGCTGGGGGCGCTGGAAACAGGGAAGCAGATCGAAGCCGACGTTCGTAGTGCCGGACTTGACACTGACACTATGGTGCTGAACTCTCTCCTCGACTTTTACTGTAAGTGTGGGAGCATGCTCGAGGCCGAGCGGGTGTTTAGCTCCGTTTCTGCGAAGACGCAAGTTACGTGGGCTGCACTGATGGCTGGCTACAGCTCCATCGGACAGACGCAGCGCGTTTTTCAGCTGTTCGAGGACATGCAGCGGCATCGAGTTCAACCTGACCATGTTACGTTCCTCACACTTCTCAGCGCGTGCAGCCACGCGGGGCTTGTGGACAAGGGAAAGGAGTACTTCCAGGCAATGAGCTCCAACAAGTTTGGAATAAGTCCAAGCCGGCAGCATTACTCGTGCATGGTGGATATGTTGGGCCGGGCAAACCAGCTGGATGAGGCCGTGACCATGATCCAGAGCATGCCGGGCAAAGCAGACGTGGTGATATGGATGGTGCTTTTGGCCGCTGCTGAGAAGTGGAAGAACGTGGATGCTGGGAGGCTGGCTTTCGAGTCACTCATGAAACTAGATGCGAAGAATGCGACGGCTTATGTGCTAATGTCCAACATCTATGCCGGTGCTGGAATGCTCGAGGAACTGGTCCAGATACAAGACATGTACAGGCAAAGTCACCACTAGCGACCAATGACGTTCCGGCTTACTTCCTTCGCCTACGAGGACCTTTTTCTTCGGAATCAGACTCGACTTCCTTGACCAGCTGCTGCTTGTTCTCGTTCTCCTCCATTCTCAGCTTCCGGAGATCGCCTTCGATGGTTCCTTCTTCCGGAATCGACCTCGACTTAAGCATTGCTACCACCTCATGCATCGTTGGCCGGTGCTCTGGCAAGTTCTGTGCGCACAAGGCGGCAACCTGGATCATCCTCGTCAGCTCTTCTCCGTCATACTTCCCCTCCAGCTTGGGATCCGCGAGCTCGTCGAATCTTCGCTCCATCACCAGCGGTGCGGCCCACTGGATGATGCTCCGCTTCTTGCCGGGACCAATCTTCTCGATCGGCTTTCTACCCGTCACCAGCTCCAGCAGCAGGATTCCAAAGCTGTAGACGTCGCAGCTCTCCGAGACTTTCCCCCACATTGCGTACTCAGGTGCTAGATATCCCAGCGTGCCTTTGACGCGGGTGGTGAGATGAGTGACGCCGTCAGGGATGAACTTGGCGAAGCCGAAGTCGGCAACCTGAGCTTGGAAGTTCGAGTCGATGAGTATGTTGCTGGCTTTCACATCTCGGTGTATGATATGTGGATTGGCAGTGTGATGCAAGTACCTGAGAGAGCCACACAGGAGAGAAGAAAAGAAGGTATGCACGAAGCTGTAAGAGGTTTGAAAGAAACTTACGCTAATCCTTCTGCAGAACCGATGGCGATTTCCACTCGCTTCCTCCAGTCGAGGAGCTTGTCCGACGAGAAGTGACCGTGGAGGTGCGACAGAAGGCTCAGGTTTGGCATATAGTCGTAGACGATCAATCTCTCCTCGCCCTCAGCGCAGTAGCCACGCAGCTTTAGCAGGTTTTTGTGATGCAGCCGTCCCAACGTCTCAACTTCCACTGCGAATGACATCTCGTTGGTGGTGTTCATCACTTTGAGCCTCTTGACGGCGATCTGGAAACATGAGGTAGGGAGAGAGACTCAAGGCTCTTCTTTTGCTGCTAATCAAAGTTTTATTTTTTCACCTCAGATTTGTCGCCAAGCTGGCCGTAGAAGACGCTCCCAAAGCCCCCCTCGCCGAGCTTATTCTCATAGCTGAAGTTGTTCGTGGCGAATTGCAGCTCCTTCAAGCTAAAAATCTTCCACGTCCTGGCGCTCTCGTCGTCGTCCCTGGACAAAAGCCCCTCACGGGTATGAATTCTGCTGGCCGGCACAGAATCAATCAATCCCTTTACTCACTTCATACTCCTTCCAGCGTAGCAGCATCCGGAGCTCAGCCTTTTGGTTACCCAAGACATATTCATTCGCAACTTCATCACTCGCTTGCAACGACTGATGCTGATGATCATATCCATCGTCTCCTCGCCGTCATCACCATCGCAACAGAAGATGAGAGCCAAGTCAATACAGCGCTTTGTGCATAGTGCAACATACCAAGGGCCACAGCTGGCCGGGTGCTACACAAGGAACAGTCGAGCGAACGCTATGAGCTCTACCACCATTAAACTAATCGGATACTTCCAAGGAACAGGTTTGCTAAGACCGATGCTTTGTTTTGTGTCGCTTTTGATTGTTCCCCTGGATCTCACCACCGCTTTCGTGCAGTATTCTCGCTTCTTTTCTGGCCAAGGATGTGCATAAAACATCCAGGGGGAGCTCGTCGCAGGATCAGCGAAAGAAATATAGAGCGCGGACAAAACTTTTGGTAATTTAGCGGCGCTTAGACGATCTTAACAGGATCGAACACGTCCTTCCTGTCCTCGACCCAGGGATCTCGCAGGTACGCAGTGGCAAAGTTGCAATCTAGAAAATCTAGAAGACGAAGACTCTCTTCGTCGAGTTTCTTCCTTGCAAGTTTGGAAAAGCTACTTGATCCTCTGCGTTGATGGGTTTGGTGTTCTCTTCTCTCAAGGTAATGCTCTTTATATCTTTTAGAGTGTTCTTCTATTGTATCTTTCAAATACAGATGGAAGAAAACAAGTAAAGCTAAAACAAAAGACTTAAAAAAAGATGAGTTATTAGAACAATTTCTCTACAAATATTCAATACACAAACCAGAAAAAAAATTCATTCACCCTCAGAATTGAGAATCGGTCTCACCAGAGGATGCATTTGTGCCATGTACACAATAGCCCACCTAGAAAAAAAAAAAAAACCAAAGCTCCCATCCAGAATGAAAAAAAAAAAAAGAGAGAGAGAAAGGCAAGAAGAACTTACAAGAGCCAGCAGCAAATTGCAGCAACAATCACCAATGTGATGTGTAACCTAGGTGGGAGTGTGAGTGAGATTTTGGCCAAGAGGTTCCAATCTAGAAATCTTCTTACAGATTTGCGGAAGGCCCCTTGTTGAAGAGGACGCGGACACTCACAGATCCGAGCAGCGCCGCAACGAGGAAGACAAGGCTCGTCTCCGCGAAATTCATCCTGCAAGATAGGGAATAGAACAAACCCTAAAATGTAAGCTTTTGTCTTTGTCTCACTTCGTTTGAATTCGTTTGACTTTGCACGCCATTTTAGAAAACCTGTAGTGCACAAAACTCACTACGTACTAGTCTATAAACTCACTTCAGGGTCAAACTCAGGGTTCACTTCCATATCTTCATTTAATACCATTTCTTCCTTTTCTTCTTCTTCTTCTCTACAAGAGGGTGACGCAGTGGAGGAAGTGCTCATTTGAACAGTCTTCCCATAGGAAGTTATTGTGGCTCTTGGTTTCATATGACTTATGTGAACTGGGATGTTGTTTGATATTGCTCAAAATGCAGACTTGGAATGGTGGGACTATTTAAAAGCACAAAACGCTATTATATTTGGTGTCTAATATGTTTTTTTTTTTTGGACAAAACTCAAGCAACAGATGTAACTCTCCAACAGGATACAAAAGTCAATGAAAGCTATCCGTTGCTTCTTGTGTCTGCAACCACAGTCCACACTCTTCTCTCCATCAAACAGCTCTCTTGCCGCCTTTTCCCCCTTGGGATGACAATAGCAGCGACTGTTATTACAAAGACCACCACAACGTTTTCAGTCACATAGTAAACATAGGCTCCAATGCGATTGAACTCTCTCCAGATGAACAGTACCCTTCAATACGTTGTCTCGTCAGTTTCCCCGAGAAGATGTCCACCGCGTCAAGATCCGCAACCACGTCCACACACGGGAGCCTGGGCTTCAGCAACTTCAAAACCGAGAGAGTAGCACTCATCGCATTCCAACCAACGCGTGACAGGTTGTCGTCCTTGGCAATAACCTGCATGAATTCACCAACAAATCTTTATGGAGTGATAAATCTTGCGCGCCCAACCCCGAGGACATAGCAATGCAAAGAAGGTGTAACATACTTAGCCTCACCGACTCGATAGAAAACTTTGCCGTCAAGAGCATCTGAAAGTGGCTGGATTTCTCCTCCTGCCATAGCAGAAAGAAGGCTACGCATCTTGACAGCACGGATATATTTGAACAAGTTGTTTCCCAAGCGGGCGATGGAAGCCCTCAGGCATGTCCTCCTGGTAAGGTACAGCTTGACAAGCCTTGGTACCCATCCAGTTCTTTTGCAGATTTTACGTGCCACCGCGAGAGGCAACCTTGCAAACTTCGTCTTCCTAAAGCCAAGGTTTTAGAGATTGTTAGCATGAAGGCAAACTTACAGTGAATCCTCCAGCTCCAACGAGATAGGCTGCTGCGTCTTTAAGTAACCTGCTTCGAGCGGACGCACAAATGATACTTACACGTTCCTTCTCTAGAGTTTTAGAAGGAAGCGGAAGGCAGCTTCTTTCTCACGCCCCGTTTCATCTGTGTCGCCGTCTTCTCCGTCCAAAGCATTACCGTCGTCGAGGATAATGGTCACCGTCTCAGTCCTACGGACCAAAAATCTAGTAAACTCTCTCTCGTTCGAGCAATCCATGTCGTCAAAGCTTCCGGATCTTTGAGGTAAGCCATGACCAGTCCCGTGAATAGCACGTCAAAATCGTCACCCCACAGTAACAAGAAGCGTTGGCTTGAAACATCGAGCTTCCTGCCGAAGTGGAGAAAGAAAAACTTAGCAACAACAACAGAGAAAATGCAGCTCATTACTTCTTGCCCTTCTTGTCCTCCGTTGGTGATGAAGATTCTTCAATGGCCTTGATGCTTCAAAGATACAAGTAACGTACCGCAGTGTTGAGGTTGACAGTCGGGGTGAAGACACTCTAGTATAAAAGAGGTGGAGTAGTGAGCCTGAAAGAATGGTGCTTGCATCCTTCGAGTTGACTCGCTGACCCTTGACCACTTGACCGCCCTGGTGACCGGATAGCGCTGGGCGCCCAAGGAGGCCCGATAATCTTTTATCACAGAGGACTATGGTGGATCACCTTGGATCTAAGAACGAAGCTCTAGCATCGAAAAAACAAGATAAATCAAGTCGCTCGAGCTATACTGCAAAAAAGCAAAGAAAGAAAAAGACGAGGAGTCTCTTCTTCGATCACAGCACCTCGTCCTCCTCTTTTCTCTCCTTCCTGGCCAACAATTGCGCGTTGAGGATCTCGTTCCACACGTCTGGAACACCCGGCAAGCACCAGTGCAAGCAGTCCTGGATCCCCGGCCTGGCATTCGCAGTGAATCGCGAGAGGTGAGCTTCTCCCCGGAACTGCGACAGGTGCGTGATGTTCAACAGCTCCACCCTGGTGTTGGCCACCGCTTCCTCGGACAGCACGTCCCTCGACGGCCTGTTTGAGACGTCCACCCCGAAAGCTTTGATGTTGTCGCAGCGCCCACCCGAGTTCCAGTCCCCGTTCATGAAGTGCCTGGGCGAGAGAGCCGTGAGAACGCCTCGGAGCTCCGGCCTAGCACCGATCTGCCTGTCCAGCCACCTCACCACCTTCTTCACCGCAAACTGGTGCGAGTAGCTCACCGATGCGAAGCGGGAGCCTTTGAGCGCCACCTTCTTCCCACCAACGTACATCTCCCACTTGTTCCCGTTTATCTTCCCCGAGTTCCAGTGGTGTCCCGTGTTGAGGATCACCAGATCCATCCGAGCTACGTTCCTCTTGAGGAAATCCACCGGCCTGTCCAGATGCATCGCCGCAGCCGAGCTCGGATCGGTCACGTTGTAGAGCTTGATCTTGCAGAGACTAGCCGACCAGTAGAAGAGGATGGTGGTGTTCGTTTCCGTGAACCTGTATGCCCAGCCATTTGGTCGGAGAGACCATGTAGGCCGCTTGTCGAAACCATACTCCTGTCCAGCATCGGTCGCTACCATGTCGTCTTTGCCTCGCGTTATCATGCACAAAAGTGACTGAAACTGTTGCCGGCCCAGAGAATCCCCCACGAAAGCGATTGTTTTGTTCTTCCATCTGTTATCGGATGATGTTTATTATTAGTAGAAGAACACACTTAGAGAAGCATTTTTACCTTGAGAGAAAAGCCCGGCCATCAAAAGGCGGAAGATCACATCCTTGAGGTTGCCATCTATACTTCTCGTAATCGAAGTCCTTCCTTCCCTGCACCTTGCAGGCCCACATCGAGGAAAGAAACTGCGAGCACATTTCGCCCGAGTAAAGTGGTCTGTTCGAGTCGTTCAACCATTTTCCCTTTGAGTAATCACACTGTGGAACTGAAACAATGAATAGTTTAGAGACAAGATGAAAGAAAAACAAATTAAGTAGTTCAGTACCTTGCTTGTAAACTTCCCTAACAGGAGACGCTTTCCTTGTAGCAAGCTCTGGGAAAAAGTAAACAGCCAAACTTTAGAAAAAGAAACAATCGCTAGAACCGAAAACATTCTATAAGATCTAGGAGGGTTTTTTTTTTTGTTTTGTTTTGCGGTTCTAGATTTTTAAATTCGAGGTAGAGAGATTTGCTCGACCTGAAACCGTGCTATTTAGCAACTCCATGATGCTGCCATCGTGCGAGACAGCAATCGATTTGGAGAATCTAGATAGATCGAGTGCCCCCGCAAACAAAGCTACATTCATGAATGCCAGTAAAGGAAAAAAATCTAAAGAATGCTCAGCCTAGAATCCAAAAAGCTGGACAAAACGTACCAAGTTCCAGGCGAAGCCCCGGCCCCCATGCTCTCGATCCGAGCACACTCGCTGCCGGCGATCCCTCCCACCCGAAAACCACGATGAATCCACACAGCACCGCGAGCATGAGGACAAGCGCGCGCCTCGCTCGCATCCCATACAAGATCGCTCCTCCTCCGCCGCCTCCTCCCGCCTTGAAATGCTGATCGGAATCCCTCTTTCTCAGCTTCTCGCCCGGGATCAGCACCATGATCGCCAAGAACCTCATCGCTGCCGATAATCCGCCATCGCTTGCGCGAAATCTTCGCCCGCGCCACAAACCCTAGCTACGACAACAAAGAAGCCCAGACCCAAGGCAAACCAACGCAACAACTGAAGCTCATGAGACAGGTAAACCATCAATATTTTTACTCGCTACGCGTTCCAGCCATTAACTGTAGAACGGTAAGATTTTGCAATCACGTACTATACGAATATTCTCTGCCACCTGTTTCCTAACGGCCGGATTCGTAGGGTAAAATGGAAATATCCATACGAATATTCATTCTACCTGTCGTGTAACGGCCGGTTACCGGTTCAGCCGGTTTGCGCGAGGCATATTCTAATGCCGTGTTCTTCGCGTTTAGGGTTTTGTTTCGAGGGGGCGATGGAGAGGAGGGATTCGCTGCTGGTCATGGCGCTGATTTTTGTACTGTGCTTCGTCGTCATGGCAGTGCGTATGCCAGTTCCTCCTTCATCGGTCACAGGTTTGTGGATCTTGCTCGATATTTCGCGGAATTTTTTTGATTTTGCTAGTGCTAGACGGCGCCGAGGCCAGGAGCGATGTTACCAGGAGCCACATCTTAGCTGAGATGGAGAAATTGCGGATCCAGGGCAAGAAGTACACGCCGCGATACTACAAGCCGGGCGCATTCGCTGCTAATGCCGCCAGTGGCAAGCAAGGGATCCGGCGACGCAAATCTTCTTCTTCTCCAGCAGAATAAAATTCCGGGTGAGCCGATCGCCTGCATTGCACCATCGTGTAGATATATGACCGCTGCATCCATGTATAATATTTTTCTTTCTAAGTCTTTGATGGAGGATTGGTGACACCGATCTTCTCACTTTTGGATTCTCTTTAGAAATTTTTGCTAGGATAGGTAGGGTGCATCTCTTTCACTGCGAGCTTCCTAGCGCTTGCCGTGATTCTTTTCTAGTGAAAGAGTACAAGCATTTTCTACTGCCTGTCATCTTCAAGCTGCTACAGGCACAGCCATCACTGACTCGTTTTCCAGCGCTGGCCTTTTCACGACTTTGGCAGAAGACCAGAGATCAAGGATCACGTACAGGGGACTACCGACCAAGAGTACTGCGAGCTGGATCCAGACTTGAAGTGCGATCCCAGAGTTTTTGGAGATCGGGAACAGGATTCCAATCCAAAAGGTGGAGGCAGCGCCGGCGGTACCAAGCAGATTGAAAACAGCCCAGATCTCGGGTTTCTGGCCGTGGAAGATCCTAGCAGTGATGGCGAAGACATGGCTCGTGAGAACGCCATCCGCGATTCCAAAGAGAAGTCCAGCGACGTAAGCCAGCAGCGGTGCTCCCAAGAATGGAATCCCGAAGAAGCAGCCGATCTCGTAGTTGGAGATACGCCGGTGATCTTGGAGTGGGAAACAAGCCATTAGTCCTGCTCCGCTGGCTGCTGCTCCCACCAAGAAAGTTGGCGTCCCACAACGTAGGAGATCCGACAACCAGCTCAAGAAAAAGGATCCGATCACTTGACCGATTCCCGTGAAGAACAGGACGATTCCGATGGCGTTTGCTGGCAAAAGCTTGGTGAACTCGCCAGTCCAAAACGCTGTTTGGCAGCCCAGGTAGCAAGTTATTGGCAAGAGAAGAACGAAGGGGAGCAGCGTCCGCCAGGTCAGGCTTTTCTCTACGTCTTGGTCCAGATCCTCCAAGCAGGCGGAACACTTGATCGACTCTTCGTCAACTTTCTCTTCACCACCGCCAGAGACTTCGGCTTTGTCAACCCGGTGACCAACTTTGTCAAGTTCATCACTTGCCGCTCGATCAACATCATCGACCAAGAGCAAAACGAGAACACCGACGGTCGCACTGACGCTTCCTAGGCCGAACATCGCCGACTGGGAGAGAAACCTGAAGACCATGAACGCTGCCAAGTTTCCAACGATGCTGGAGAGCGAGCAGATCCCCCAGAAGACTCCGGTGAAGAGGCCGCGCTTGGAAGGTGGCGTACACTTGGTGAGAAAGGTTCCCTGCGCGACCCAAGTCAAGCTCGCTCCAAAGCCACACAGGACGCTGGAGCCGAGAACCATGGACCGGTTTGGCCTGACGAGCGAAGCCAGATACGTCGCGTGAGCCAGGCCGCCTAGCATCATCGAGCGGAGCTCGCCGATGGAGGAGACGATCGTCGGGGCCGCGAGAGTGGAGGCACAGAGAGATGCTTGCAAGAGGAACAGGGACTTGTCGCCGAGGTGGCCAGGGAGAAGCGAGGTGATGTACTCGGAGAGAGCGTCCATGGCACTGTAGACGCAGAAGAAGGAAGCGGCGAGCTTTGCGACGGTGGAGATGGAGGAGTTGCAACTGGGCGATGATCGGGATTCCTTGGAGCAGCAGCAGCATTCTCTCTGGCGGTGGAGTGATTGGAGCGGCTGGAACCGATCGTTCTCCTCTAGATCGTCCTGGTGGTGGTGGTGATCGTGATCGTGATCCTGGTGATAACTTCCGAGAAGAGGAGCTTCCAGGATCGACGCCGGCATGCTGGGAACAATGGATTCGATCGATCAAGCGTGCATGCAGAGATTGGTACTTAGAGCCAAGGATCGAGGAAGGCATGCAAACGAGGATGTTTTTTTTTTTTTTTTGTTCCTGGCGCTAAAGCTGGAGTTCCGGAAAGGAAAGGCCAGGTGACTGGAAGACGAAGACGGAATGTGTGGTGCAATCGCCACCGTTGGACTTGCCCGAGTTGATCGGACGGTCGTAAGTTTGGCGGTCGCAGTCTAACGTTATTCCATTGATGGTTCGTTTTATCCAATGTGATGGATCGATTCATGTCAAGACACAACATAGATTCGATCGCAACATTCACGGCATGAGGAGACAAACTAACAAGTTGTGTCGGTAGCATTCTTTTCGGAAGCGATCGACGCAATGTTGGTGTCATCCCCGCCCCTTGTAAAATATCCACAATCGGACCATACTATGATCTTTGGTTGCCCGAAAGGAGAGGTTTGATATATGGCAAAGTCTGCGCAACTTTAGCCTGACGTGCCAACTAACAATACTTTTTTTCTCTAGGGTAAAGTCAGCTGAATGGCAGCATTGTGACCAGATTCATTGAATGCCCTGGACGACGACTTTCACTCTTCGTGCGTGCATGGCTGGCCCTCGTCACAGTTGGCAATCCCTCCTCTTTATAAGAGCCCTAAAATCTCTCTAACACGGAGCTTTATAAAAATCTTGCAACCTAAAGGGATTTATAGCACTGTCGGAAGGGGTTTTTGGATTGTGGCCAGGCGCCAAATGATCTCTTCGTGTGCTTCGAGGCGATCGAGTCATCGATTGGCATAGCAGGCTTGGGCATCGCGGTGAGTGCTCATGCATGATGGCATTGGATTGGATCATAGTTTTGAGATCGATCGATCGATCGCGTGATCGATCGCGTGAAGTGATCGATCGATTCCGCTGGTCCCGGGTCCTTTTGTCGGTGTGGTTGAAATAAAGGTCGCGGCGGCGCCGTGTGTAGACTGGCTTCAGTGGACCTCCCGACTGGGACGTACATTTGAGAAATTTCGTTTCCTGTTCTTGGCAGTGTTCTTGGCGTCTTCGCATATGATATGACTTCTTTTGTTGGTTTTTTCCTTGTCCACCCATCGAAAGCGAGAATCTCAACTCTTTTTCTCCGTGTGCGCCAGGTCTAGGAGGAGTTTCTCGATCCCTTCTCGCTTGTAGCTCGATCAAATGGCGGGGTCAGTCCACACGGACGACAGCGACTCGGAGCGAGCAGCTCGAAAGCCGAGCGATGGCCAGCGCCCGGAAGAACTCCCTTTTGTTCACAAAGTAAGCGTTCCTCCTAGCACTCCGCTTCACAGTGGCATCAAAGATACGATCAAGGAGACGTTCTTCCCGGACGATCCTTTCCTCCAATTCAAGAACCAGACCAAAGGGAGGAAGTTTGTCCTCGCAATTCTCTACGTCTTCCCGATCCTGGAATGGGGGCCAAAGTACCGGCTCAACCTCTTCAAGCGAGACTTTGTCTCCGGCCTGACGATAGCCAGCCTGTGCATTCCACAGGCAATGGCTTACGCCAAGCTTGCTCACCTCCCGCCCGAGTATGGACTTTGTAAGTTCTCCCTCTTTTGACTTTTGATGCCCTGTCTTTCAGACATGGAAAGGCTAAAGCTCGGTTTTTGCAGACTCGGATGTTATTCCACCTTTCGTCTATGCGGTTCTAGGAAGCTCAAGGCACATCGTCGTCGGACCGGTTGCTGTGGTGTCGATTCTCTTGGGAACTCTCCTGAATGCCGAAGTGAACTACAAGAAGGACCTTGCGACTTACCTTCAGCTTACATTCACTGCTACGTTTTTCGCGGGGCTAATTCAGGCTGGACTCGGGTTCCTCAGGTTGACCTTTAAGTTTACAGAAGACAAAACGGTTTCTAACAGCGTCAGTCGTCATTTTCAGGCTGGGATTCATCATAGACTTCCTTTCTCATGCCGCTGTGGTTGGATTCATGGCGGGCGCCGCCATCACTATTGGCCTGCAACAGTTGAAAGGGCTGTTTGGAATCACGAACTTCACTACAAAGACTGACATCGTCTCAGTTTTGAAATCCGTCTTTAGTAACACCCACCAGGTTCTCTATCCTTTTTCTCGTTTTTTTCTTCTGCGGACACACTAAAAATGTTTGGCGATGCAGTGGAACTGGCAAACTATCCTCATCGGTCTTTTCTTCCTCGTGTTGCTGCTCGCTGCCAAGTTTATTGTAAGTCAGATTGAGGTTCCTTTCATTCTGTCTTTCTTAACTTTGCTGGATTTCAGAGCAAACGGAAGAAAAGCTGGTTTTGGATCTCGGCAATAGCACCGTTGACTGCAGTTATCCTGTCGACAGCTTTCGTGAAAATCACGCGTGTTGATAGGCATGGAGTTATCACGGTACGCTGCTGAACTTCGTTTATTTTTGTTCTAAATTTGATATTTCAGGTCAAGCACATAAACAAGGGACTGAATCCTTCTTCGGCTCACTTGATTCATTTTAGCGGGGACCTTGCACTGAAAGGAGTTAAAGTTGGCATTGTGGCCGGATTGGTCGCTTTAACGGTACGAAGACTGGGCCAATCGCATTGACATTCTCATTTTCATTTTCTCAGGAAGCTATAGCCGTAGCAAGAACGTTTGCTGCGCTTAAAGACTACCACATTGATGGAAACAAAGAGATGATAGCTCTCGGGTCGATGAATATGATCGGATCATTGTCCTCTTCCTACGTTACTACAGGTACTGCCTTCTATTGATTGTGATTTGCTTAACAAGTGATCGATTTTGTTTCAGGTTCATTCTCTCGCTCGGCAGTAAACTACAACTCTGGTTGTAAAACTGCGATCTCAAACGTAGTTATGGCAGTAGTAGTAATGATCGTCCTCCGTTTTCTGACACCTTTATTCTTCTACACTCCGAATTGCATCTTGGCTTCGATCATCATAACAGCAGTTCTCAGCCTCATCGATTTGAAGGCAGCAAAACTCATATGGAAGATTGACAAGTCTGATTTCCTGGCATGTATGGGTGCCTTTTTTGGTGTCGTTTTTGTCTCCGTCGAAATTGGCCTTCTCGTGGCGGTAAGAGTAGTGTGAGATGCGCAAAGAGATTTTGTCTAACCGGTTTGAAACTTCTCGCAGGTCTGCATTTCGATGGCAAAGATTTTATTACATGTTACACGACCTCACACCGCTGTTCTAGGAAACATACCAGGAACTACTGTTTATCGCAACGTTCAGCAGTATCCCGAAGCATACAAAATCCCAGGAACTCTTCTTGTCCGCGTTGATGCCGCCGTCTACTTCTCCAATTCTAACTACATCCGTGAGAGGTTTGCGAGTTCAAGTTGTCTCCGAATCCTTACTGAAAGCTTTCCGCAACAGAGTTTTGAGATACGTGAACGAAGAGGAGGAAGTGATCAAGAAAGCCAACGGAACCTCACTGCAATACGTTATCCTCGACTTAACACGTAAGTACTTTGACTTCTCCAAGACAGACTTTCACCCATGGGTTCTTTGCTTTGCTTCGCAAACTTCACAGCGGTTATGAGCATCGACACAACAGGAATCCATGCGTTCGAAGAGCTACTGAAAATACTAAGGAAGCGGGGCCTACAAGTGAGTTCTCTAAATCGAAGATCACTCCATTTAATCCTGATGAAACTCCTTGGAATTTTTTTTCGCAGCTAGCGATTGCAAACCCAGGCTCCGATGTCATGGAGAAACTCCACATTGCCAAGTTTCTGGAAGAACTGGGCGAAGAATGGGTGTTCCTAACGGTAGGACAGGCCGTACAAGTGTGTACCAGGCTGCTCAAATCAGCCGATGTTTAAAGGCCTTACTTTTGCTTGAATGTAAATTAAGAATATGCGATGGTATCTTATTGCCGTTGCGAATGGAATATCTAGTGGCATATTCGCCAGGGTTTTCTATATTTCTTGTCTGGCTGGGGCGACGTTCTTGGTTCCAAGGAGGAGCCGCCACCGATTCGCGACACCCGATTCACTGCCCTTGTAAGTAATGCGCGATCTCTGCCCAGTGGGATCGATGCGATTCACGAGACGAGCACGTGAATCGTCTGCGAATCCGTGTCGGGGCCGATCGCCAGGCGCTTGATGACGGAGGTGCGATTGTGAGTGACAGAGATCTCGTACTCGCCGTGGAATCCCTGGAAGCTGAAGCTCCCCTCGTGATCGGTGGTGCCGCTCAGCCCCACTGTCCGGATGTTCTTGAGGAAAACGTCCACGATATTTCCAGCGGGCAAGTTCTTGAAATTTTGATCGGTCAGGCACATCCGGTAGCAGCCGTAGGGATGCAGAGCCGTCCACAGGACGATTCCTTTCACTGCTGGGTGGGAGAATGCCTCGCGGAGAACCTGCTGGAGATAGATTGCCTTCGATCATCGCAGACAAAGAGAAAAGAGAAAAGACAAGGCATTAGTAGCTCCTCGAGGAGGTGAGTGAGAGCTTTTGTTTCTTCTTACTTGGTTTTCGCTGTCAACACTGTTCATGATATCGACTTCCGTCAGCCAGATTGGGAGCTCCAGCGTCGCAAGCTTGTCGAGGACTGCTCGCATGTAAACGAGATTGGGCTTGCCGGAGAAGTGTCCCTCCAGTCCAATGCCGAGCTTTTTGATTCCTGCGGCTTTCATCTCGAGCAGCCTGTGGACGTAGTTGTCGGGTAAGCTCATCGAGTCCTGTGGTACCTCGATCACGTTGAAATCGTTGAGAAACAATGTTGTTTCAGGATCGATCTCCTGGGCGAATTTGTAGATCTCCACAGCCGCGTTGCTGCCGAGCTTGCTCTCGAAGAAGTTGAAGTGGAGCATTTCGTTGAGCACGTCCCACTGTGGAAGCTTGCCAGCGTAGTGACTCATGACGGACTCTATGCGGGACATTGTGGCGGTTCTCAGCTCCGAGGCGCTCAAGTCTTTCACCCATCCAGGCTGGTACTGTGGATCGTTCCAGAGAACGTTGTGCCCTCTGACCAAAATGTTGTTGGCTTTGCAGAAATCCAGCATTTTATCGGCGGTCTCATACGAGACTTTGCCTTGTTGCCGCTCCGTAGAGTACCACTTCATCTCGTTCTCGAACACAGCAGTGTTGAATCGCGTCACAAACCATTTCTGGCAAGCACGCCGAAGTCAGCAAGGTATCTTTTAGATTTTTTTTTGCTTACTTGATATGTCGGGTTGTCCAGGATTGTGGATGCAATTGCTGAGCCAAATGGGAAGTCGCCAGTTATCTGCTCCACTTGGATGTCTGCATTGTGGATTCCATGGCCTTTGCAATCCGTGACGCTCAGGGTCACGGATCTGGTTCGGCTCTGTCACGTCAGCAGGCACATCACAGGTTAGCAGCTAGCATTTTGTTCGATTTGCACACCTTTTTTATGCTGATATCTTGGTGCTTGCTCCACTCCTCGTCTGAAAAGGGCTGAAGCGAGACACTGTCCAGCCAAATGTCAACCTTCGGATCGGAGCTCTGCACGACATTGGTACACCAAATGCGCACGTTTGGTAACGGAGAACAGAGAAACAGGGTCGTTAAATTCACCTCGAAGTACAGAGTGGCGGATGAAGCATTGAACTCGGGAATAAATCCTCCCTTCAGGAACGTCCAGCACTTGTTCCTGGCTGCGACGCTCCCGGCTGAAATGTATTGTCCGTTGGCCTTGATGGTGGCCTTGACCAGAGGAGCGGTATCATCACTTCCACCGTTCACTTGCAACCAAGCTGTAAGTTTTCCAAGTAGGTAGAGATTGATCAGTATACACGAGTTTTTTCTTCGGTGGTTAATGTTGTTGTTTGTTGGTTGTCAGCAGAGATTCGATTTTCAACATTGATTTTCGCACCTGAGAGAGTGTACTTGGACCCCTGCGTAAGATTCGCCAGAGCTTGTGAAGGGCCGTGAAATCCAGCGTTCCGATTGGTTGCAACGAGGAACTTGTTCCTGCCTTGGACCTGGATCTTGAGAGTGCAGCCCCCGAATGGGGACCAGCCGAGAAGGTCCGCGTCGAATGCGGGGTTTTTGAGAACACCTCCGTTGTACAGGGGACTTGTGGGAGCAGCCAGACACTGCGTGGGGACAGAGCAACAGAAACAAACGGTCTCAACTGCTGAAGACTATAAACAAAGTGAGTAAAGTTTCACCTCGGAGAATGCAGTTTGATCATAACTCCCGTGCTCTGTGGCAGGAGGACAGCAGAGCAATTAGACATATTGAATTGGCCAAGAAGCGAAAGAAACGAGTTGAGTGATGAATTCGAACCTGGTGGTGCCGGTGGTGATGGATCTGGTTTGCGATGATGAGGATGTCCCCGCTCAACAGCTCGAGAGAAGGAGGCATTGAAGTCCGTCTCGAGCGGGCAGAATGCAGAGAGCTGGAAGAGGATGGGAAGGACGAGCGAGGAGGAAGGCATTGAGCTGAAGTGGTGGCTCTCTTCCAGCATTGAGGACAGATTTTTTATAGGAGGGAGGGGAAGAAAAGGAAGCAGGGGGGCGGGGGAGACAAACGCTGGCCAAACAGTGTCGCCGCTCAACTTGCTGCAAATGTGAAGCTCCTTTACTGTGGCATCAAGAATGAGGGAGGAGGAATTCGGTGCGCAGTAGAAGCAATGAGCAGAGGGAATCAATCAACAGATTTGGCCGCTTCTTCGTGCTTGGTTCTGCGGCGTCGTCGTCGTCATGGAATGGAGCGAAGCAGTTTATATATATATATCCGCGTTCTTCGTCCCTTGGAGGCGCCGTGGAAACAAGCTTTTGCTTGTGGGGTCCCGGACGGAAGGGGATGCTGTACACAGCAAGCTCTCGAGCGGCGAAGAAGAAGAAGAAGAGCAAGGAAACTTGGCGTGCCGTAAGAGTGTGCAATTAGCGCAAGCAACGCTTCTTATCCCCGAGAAGAAAGAAGAGACGGGCGAGCGAGAGCACTGTTTTCTAAGTAAGTGGTTGCTTTGCTTTCTTCCTCGTCCTGTGCTTGTGATCTAATATTTGCTTGCCTATTATGTATACAGTGGGGCGGCTACTTGGAGAATCATGAGCGATCCCAACGGACATCAAACAATGCCTGGATTTCTTTCCGGTGGCGCTCATGCGTCTCGCCGCAACCATGCACAACAAAAAGTAAGACCCCTTTTTTTTGCAATCTTCTTTTTCCCTTTGGCCGAACGAACTAACGAACGCAGGCAGGCGTGCATGATTCGGGACAAATCGGTGTGCGGTGTGCGGTGTGCCTTGAATCTCACGGTTGTGCTTCTACTTTTCATGAAGAACACAAAGCCCCACCCGAGCCAAGGTATGATTTTTATTCTCTCTCTTTTCTCTCCTTACTTTTGTAAAACGTCAGCGCAGTGAGAGAGAGAGAGAGAGAGACAAACACAAACACAAGACACACAGAGAGGAGGGAGAGTGGCACAGGGGACCCTCCATGTTTGCAAAATGCCCAGCACAAAAAGTTTATACAGCAATTTCTCACGAGAAAAAGTTGCAGGCCCGCGGCTGTGAACACATGTGAAAAAGCGGAGGGGGAAAAAGGAAGGTTTTTTCTCCTTTCTCAAGGCTGCCTTTGCTGCAACTGGGAGGAGACATGGAGGGTGGCAACTTTTCTTACCACACAGCTTGAAACTACCTTTTCCATCAATGCCTTCAGATTTAGGGCAAATATTTCCATTTTTATGGTTAATTTGGCTTAAAGTGTTTAACCTTTAGTGTTTTGTTTGCTTAATGGTGTGGTATGGGTGTTGTGGACTTAACAAACTTCATCAAAATGAAATTAAGTTCTTTGTTTACATTGATGAATTCTATCAATATAGAATTATTACACAAAACTTTATTTTTTATTTGATATTGGTGAAATTTGTAATTATGAAGTCCAAGTCCAGAGTGTAGAGTAATAATGTTGTTTATATTATTTATGAAATTTTGATATCCATGAATTGATTTCAATCTAGACCATTTGCTCTTGTAATTTTTTGAAAATAATATTTTGTAATTAGAAAATCAAGTAGAAGAAAACATAAAACAGAGAATATTCACAAACATTGATTAGTAAAAAGTACAAATATTGATGATTATAACGCAGCTAATCTTTGCTAATTGGCAAACCAAATGAGTGATTAGAACTAGTCTTTCTTGGGTTTGGGGAACAACCTCTTACTTGATTTGTACGTCCACGCATGTCGCCCTCCATGGCGGGCATCATCAACATGGCAGCACCGCAAATGTCTCCCCGCATCTCGATGGCGCATTTGCATTTGCATTTGCATTTGGCCCCTTTTAAATTGTGATGCTGCTGCTGGAGCGAGGCGCGTGCATCCAGCTGCTCCAAAAGTGCTCGAGCCCCGCCGCGGCAACCTTCCTCCACTCGCACATCCGCCATTTCCTCCACGCCCACGACGTGTTCGTCCACAACAAGCTCATCGAGATGTATGGGCGATGCGGCAGCACAGGAAAGGCCAAGCAGATCTTCGATTCGATGGACGAGAGAGATACCTTCACCTGGAACCTGATGATCGCCGCATTTGCCCGCAGCAGGCAGCTGGACCTCGCGCAGCAAACGTTCGATCGAATGCCCAATCCGGACCTTGTGACATGGAACACGATCCTCACTGCCTTCTCGCTTGCCGGGGATCTCTCGACGGCAAAGCAACGCTTCAACGAGATGCCGGCGCGGAACCTCGTGTCGTGGACCGCGATGCTTTCTGCATATGCCCGGAATGGGCATCTGTTTGGAGCCAAAAGCGTCTACGGCGAGATTCCGGAGTGGAGCCTCGTGTCGTGGAACGCGATGCTGGCAGCTTGCACGCAAAACGGTGATCTCTTGGGCGCCAGACAGGTCTTTGCGTCGATGGAGGAGTACAGCCTCGAGTCGTGGACGGCTATTGTCTGCGCAAATGCCGCACAAGGGCATCTAGCCGAAGCGAAACGTTTGTTCGACAGGATGCCCGAGGGGGACATTGTGTCCTGGACTGCGATGCTCGCGACTTATGCGCAGACTGGAAATGCGTTTCAGGCAAAGAAAGTCTTTGACGCCATGCCCGACTTGGATCTCGTGTCGTGGACCGCAATGCTTGCAGCATATGCCATGAACGGGCATCTTAACGAGTCAAAGTCTGTGTTTGATTCTATGCGCGAGAGGAACCTGTTTTCTTGGACGGCTATGCTCGCTGTGTATGCGGGAAAGGGGTTTTTGGAAGAGGCAAAGTTTCTGTTTGATTCTATGCCGGAGCGTGATGCCGTGTCCTGGACAGCAATGCTCTCTGGATTTGCGCAAAATGGGCATTTGGAAGAGGCCAAGTCGATGTTTGATGCAATGAACGAGCGCCATCTTTTCTCGTGGAACGGGCTTCTTTCCGCATACGCTCAAAACGGAAATCTCGATCAAGCACTCAAGATATTCGATCGAATGCACGAGCGCAACACAATCTCGTGGAACGCTGTCCTTGCAGCGTACTCTCAAAACGGCCATCCCTCGACTGCAATCCAGATCTTCAAAGAGCTCAAACTCCTGGGCGATCCTCCAGACGAGATTGCCTTCCTTTGCAACCTCATCGCATGTAGCCACGGAGGAAAACTCCGCAATGCCGGCGACTCGTTTCGATCCATGGTCTCGGACTTTGGAATCCCGCCGAGCAAGCTACACTACCGGTGTCTGATCGATCTCCTGTGTCGCTCGGGATACCTTGGCGAGGTGGAGGAGCTGCTGGCAACGATGCCATTCTTCCCGGATTCGTGGGACTGGACTTGCTTTCTCGGTGCTTGCAAGGGTCACCGAGACGTGGATCGAGGGAGCCGAGCGACAAAGAGGGCCATGACTCTCGATCCAGAGAACCCCGCTCCATACGTCTTCATCTCTAACATCTTCCAGGAGCTATAGTCCTGCCAAACACGATTTCTTAGAAAACAACTTTACAAAGACTTTATCTGCGAGGGAAAGATATACTAGACTATAGCATGGGTTGTTTTAGCATGGGTTAGCATGGGTTGTTTAAAAAAGTTGGTAAACCTTGTGATTTTGTTCATCTATCAGATCTTAGGAGCAACTTAGTGCATTTTTTCTCAGTCTTCGGGATGGAAAGATATTTGGCGTTCCTCAGCCATGGCATTCCAGCGATTGGATTCATCTCTTGGGGACTCGCGCTCTTTGTCACAGCTGCAGCTCACAGACGAAACAACAATGAATCTCAATCACTTGCCGCAAAGCGGATCGAGTTCTACAGCATCTTCCTCGGGAGCTCAGGAGTGATTGTGTTCCACTGCATTGTCCAGCCAACACGAAGCTATCCCGACGTGGAGCATATTTCCATGGCTCTTCCCTTCATAATTTACGCACTCGCTCTGCGGTGGAAGGCAAAACTATCAAATAGTTTTGTAAATCTCCTGGGAGCCGCTGCTTTTGCCCAGGAATTCATCCTCTTTCACTGGCATTCCACGGATCACAAAGGCGTGGAAGGACACTATCATGCGCTGCTGCAACTCATTGTGGCCGCTTGTATGTTTACGTGCTTGGGCGAGGCCCTTTTCCACAGGAAGCTAACTATCAGGCTTTTAAGATCTTTTTGTATCCTCTTTCAGGGAGTTTGGCTGCTTCAGCTGGCACTGCTGCTTGTGTTTCCTTCGGAGTTCCTGCCTCCAGATTGCCGATTGTTTCTTCACCGCCACCAGAAGGTTGCATGCAGCAGCGAGAAGCTTATCATGCAATCCAAAACTGTGGCGACCTTGCTTTTTAGTTGGTACTTCTCTTTGCTGATGGTAGCAAGTGCTATAGCTTATGCTTGGATTGAGAGAAACGCTATGAGATATTGCCCTGTTGGCTCCTTGGAAGATGAAGAGACAAGAGAGCTTTGACTAATTTGTTTTAAAGCAAATAAAAAGAGATCGTGGAAACCTGCAAAGTTCGTATTTAATCTTTTCTGTTTTAGATTCTTTAAACTAATCCAATGACAATCTAAAACGCTCCGAGCAACGCATATCATAGAATGGTTCTAACTGGAATCTTGTCTAGCGTGTAGTTAGAACTGGCACCAATCATCCCCACGATCAAATTTGATACGCACGTCCGGACGAACACGTTTCCCTTGAGATCTAGTTTTTTACTTGCAAGAGGAATCATTGATGATTAAAGACTGCAGTGCCCAGAACTTCGATCGGAGCTGACAGTATACTCTTCTTGATTGAATGGCAAACAGCTTGCTGGTGTTCTTGAGTCATGGGATCCCAGCGTTCGGCTTTATCTTCTATGGGATCTCCCTCTTTGTCACCAATTGCCTAGGAGCTCCTCGAGGATCAAACGAGCTCAAAGAGAGTCGATTGCTAGCCCTTGCAAAGCGAGTCGAGTCTTACATTGCCCTTCTCGGAAGCGCAGCGGTCATCGCCTTCCACTGCATTGTCCAGCCAACGCGAAGCTTTCCGGACTTGGAGCACATAGCCATGGCTCTTCCCTTCCTCATCTATGGACTCGCTCTACGCTGGAAGGCAAGCTTGTCGAGTGGCTTCGCGGATCTCATGGGAGCAGCTGCTTTCGCCCAGGAATTCCTCCTCTTTCACTGGCATTCCTTGGATGACACGGGTGTGGAAGCCCACTATCACGCTCTCTTGCAAATCACCGTCATGGCTTGCGCGCTTACAAGCTTGGGCGAGATCTTTGTGCGACACCACCAGACCACCATCAAGCTTTCCAGGTCGATCTCTATCGCCTTTCAGGGCGTCTGGCTGCTCCAACTCTCGCTGGTGTTTGTCTTTCCTTCGCTGTTCCTGGATCGAGATTGTCAAGTCAACAGTCACCACGGCCACATTCGGATCGAGTGCGCAAACCAAGAGCTCGCCAACAAATCCAAAGCCGTGGCGACGATGGTTTTTAGCTCTCATCTTTCTTTGCTAATGGCAGCGTGTGCCACACTGTATCCTCTGATTGAGAAAAGAGCTTCTTTTTACAGCCCAGTTGGGACGAATTCGTGGGATGATCAAGCATAGTTCTTCCCAAAGATTGTGGAAAGCATATACTTGTATATTCAATGAATATTCTTCAACCTTAAATAAACATTCGCGCGAAATGGCGAGATTCACGCGACGAGTGCCTTTGCGCCCTCCGGCCAATGCGTGAGAATGAGCTCCACTACCTCTTCATCGCTATCCTTGTCTACCACTGCTTCATCTTCTTGATGATCCCGCTCGACTGGATGAACTTCGTCTTCCAAGCCGAGAGCTCGAGCACCATCCTTCCAGTTCCTTCGAATCCAGACCAGGTCCGCATCGTCGTAGAAATCAGCTCCCACAGCCGTGGAGAGCGTCTGGAACTCGTCCCATGTCAACACGCTGGCAGGCTCGTCGTCCAGGGAGATGACTTCCACAACCTCACTGCTGCTGGCTGCCTGAGACTTTGATCTCTTCTCGTCGCGTTCCTTGCGAAAAGCTTCCCAGATCTCCTGCATCTCCCTGTCTCCAAACTCTTGCTCCGCGCAGGTCTTTGCCAAGCTGTCAATCTCCTCCTGCGAGACTTTACACCTACTTGGAGGTGAAGTGGACTCGATTTTGCTGCTTGAAACGTTGCGGAGCTGTTCTTCCGGAGTCGCAGGAACGATTGTCACGTCGGAGTCATCCGGAGTTGCGGGAACAATGACTACCTCGTCGTCGTCATCATCGTTAACTTCGTCATCCGAGGAAACATAGATAATCTGAGCGTCTCCCGAGCCATCGTCGCTGATGTCGCCAGCATCATCCTCGTCGCTTAAGCAAATCAGTTCTGCGGCACTGGATTGCTGAGTAACTCCTTCGAACGGAGCCGTTTTCAATTTTATGCTTCGGTCGACTGGAACTTTCACTGCATGAACTCCACGTTTCGGCTCGATCTTCGCAGTACTTACTTTAGACGTTCCAGAGATGTTCGGAATAGTTGGAGCTGAAGGAACTAGTTCCGAAACCTGCTGAGATGGTCGAGCATCGGAGTTGATACCCACAGCCTTCGACGTTTGATGGCGTAAACGCATTGGATGACGGGAACTTACAGGACATTGAGGTGTCGGAGCTGCTGCTTGAAGCATAGGATCAGGACTTATAGACTGCGATGGAGCTGGTGCCCGACTTCCTTGAACTGGAACATCTGTGGCTGTTGGACTAGTCACAGACTGCCGAGAGGAGAAAACATTTGTCGTCGTGTTGGCACGACGTCGTTCGTCATCTGGCAGCGTTCGACGTTGGGGAGCCACAGCCTTATCCGAGGAAGTTACTGGAGGAAGACCTTCGCGAGCTTGAGCTTGAGGAGTTCCTCTACTAGAACTTCCACCATTCGAAGGAAGTCCTTGATCTCTTTCTCTGGTCATTGGCTGCGTTTGGCCACCACGTCCTTGGGCTTTGGTCCAAAGCCAAGCTCGATATATGGTGTCCTCAACGTAAGCTTTGTCAGTGGCAGGAACTGGTAAAACATGCGGTCGAGGTGGAGCTCCTGCCCGACTTCCTTGAACTGGAACATCTGTGGCCGCTGGACTAGTCACAGACTGCCGAGAGGAGAAAACGTTTGGCGTCGTTTTGGCACGACGTCGTTCGTCATGTGGCAGCGTTCGAGGTTGGGGAACCGTAGCCTTATCCGAGGACGGTGCTGGAGGAACAGGATCATGACCTCCACGAGCTTGAGCTTGAGGAGTTTGAAGAACACCAGAACTTCTACCATTCGAAGGAAGTCCTTGATCTCTTTCTCTGGTCACTGGCTGCGTTTGGCCACCATGTCCTTGGGCTTTGGTCCAAAGCCAAGCTCGACATACGGTGGCCGCAACATCAACCGGTCCAGGTGGTGGATCAGAGCTTCTTGTACTTCCAAGATGATCTCGAGTTGGTGCCAATCGTTGAACGTCCACTCTGGAAGAGGTCGCTACTGGAGTTGGAAAAACACTCGGAGGAGCTCTAGTTCTTTTTCCATTGCCAGTCCCACCATAACCAGAGCCTGAGAAAGCTTGAGTGCCATGGCTGGTCGACGTCGTGCCTTGATCGCTGATGATAAACTTTTGCAGTGGCTTTCCCGAGGCCGCTCCCATATGAGCTAAGCGATCGGCTGCCTCGTTTCCAAACATGTTTGCATGAGCTTTCACTTTGAAGAGGTGAATTCGCTGGACTTTGCTTTGCTGAGCAGCGGCAGCAATGGCAACGAGGATGTTCTCGTAGACGTGATAGCGAAGATTGGATGGCTTGCGCTGGAACTTTTCCACCAGATAGAGCGACTCCAAGCTATCCGTGTAGAGAAAAATGCTCGTCTGCTTCCAGAAGCTTTGGACGTGAACAATGCCTTCGAGGATCGCAAGCAGCTCCATTGTCATGGATGACACTTTGTGAGTTGAAAGATCGATCTCTAGTGCCATGGGCCGTGATGGATCCGAGCTCAGCTGGAAAGTAATGGTGCTCCCAACGATCACATTCCGAGCCAAACAGTGGTTTTGCTCCTGGCAGCGGTAGAAAATGCCATAGCCAGCCTTGTTCTGGGCAGAAATGAAAGAACCATCCGTGAAAACGTTCAAAGGTAGCGTCGAGTTGATCTCATCGGCGCTGTGCTCCTTCGTGCATATCAGGAAGCGAAAACCCCCATAAAAGACGTGAGGATGATCTGCCACAACCGCCGGGAAAGCTTCTTCTCCCTGCAGCAAATGATTCTCTCGAACAAAAGCCACGAAATCTTCCGCCGCTGTCGCATTGCTCCTTCTATAAACCCTCGTCTTCTTCTTCTTCTTCCTCTTGTAGATCGCTCCTCTCGGCCGCAGGAGCTCACACCTTCCCCCATAATCGATCATCAACCCTCTTCTCTTACCCGCATTCCACCCCTTCACATTGCTCGCCGCCGCGATCGACGATCAAAGCTCCCGCCTCGTTCAAAACATTAAAGAACCCTAAGAAATATCATACTTTAAAGTAAAATGGTAACGTTAAATACCCCTAAAGTGATAAAAAGAGGGTGAATAAAGTTGGAATATCTTTCTTTTTTGTTGCTCAAGGACTTTAAAGTTTATGTCTTTGCCTTTATTTAATTAGTTAAAATGAATAAATAAGTAAATTATTTTTAAAATTCAATACATAGAAAAAAATCTCCCATAATTATAATAAGCAATTTGTGATAATTCAGTTTTGAGGAGAAGTATACCTCCCAAGAGAGGAAGTGTACTTAGGGTGGGCGGTTTGGCAAAATATTGTGCAAATTTGTAAAATATATAAGAAAAAAAAAACATACATGTACTTAAATTATTATAATGCATATGTATGACTCACAAAATAACACTAAGGAGTCTTCAATAGAATGAGAAGGAATGTCATCCTGAATGAAGTTTGTGGAGGAATGAGAATTGCAGCTGGCCTGGAGGTCTATGAAGGCATCGTGGGACAACTTATCTGCCCAAAAGTTATCTTCACGGGGAATGTGTTTAAAGCACACGGTCTGGAAGAGATCTTTGAGGTCCATTGCTCTTTGCCAAAGAGCTCTAATATTATCCTTACGAACACTGTAATCACCAATGAGTTCAGCAGCTCACTTTCTCCAGTACACAGTACATAGATCCTTTCTCTACTTCAGAGATTCAAAGATATCTTTGCTTGGGACTATTCCCAACTTCCAAGAGTCCCTATGGACACAGTCACACACCACATTACCCTTTCCAAATCAACAAAGCTTGTCAAGCAGAAGATGCACTGCTACAATCCAGCATTACTACCAGACATCAAAGCTGAGATCCAAAAGCTTCTTTCAGTCGACTTCATCTTTCCAGTGGAGCATTCAGAGTGGGTGGCGAACCTTGTCCCAGCTTGCAAAGCAAATGGTAAACTCTGGCTTTGTGTGGAATTTCGAGATCTTAACAAAGTCACACTACGAGATCATTTTCCCATGCCTTTTGTGGACTCTATCATTGATGAGCTAGTAGGCCATCACTTCTACTCTTTTATGGATGGGTTCTTGGGCTATAACCAACTTTTCATCCATCCAGGTGATCATGAGCTCAAAGCATTCAAGACACCTTGGAGGGTATTTGCATACAATGTGTTGCCATTCGGGCTTTGCAATGCAGGAGCCACATTCCAGCAGTTTATGACCTATGCATTCCATGATATTCTGGGGGACGCTCTTCAAGTATATATGGACGATCTCTACTTGGCCTCTGCCACATTTGATGACCACCTTCACCACTTGGAGCAAGTTTTCCTCCATTGCTGACATCATCAATTCACTCTCAACTCGGTGAAGTGTAAGTTCGGCATCACCAAAGGCTGCCTCCTCTGTTTTGATGTCTCTTGTGATGGAATCCAGCCACATGATGCGAAGAGAAAAGAGATTCTCGACTCCTATCCATTAAAGAGGAACTGTGTGCAAATGTGAATTCCTCTTTAATATGCTGATCAACTTTTCATGGCAAAGTTCCTCTATGAATCAATCGTTTGCAGATTCGGCATCCCAGCAGTCTTCATTTCCAATCATGGAGGAGCATTCTTGGGCCAAGTTGTTGAGCATCTCATGGAAAGGCTGGACGTTCAACACACTCTGATAGCAGCCATTTCCCTTAAGTGAATGGCCAGGTAGAGTCCTCCAACAAGACCTTAAAGTTCATCCTTGGCAAGCTAATGGCTGATCATCCTCACAAATGGCATGACCAATTGGCAATTGCACTCTAGGCTTTCAGGACATCCTTCAAGTCTTCCATCTCAGCCACTCCTTTCTCTCTGGTTTACAGCACAAAGGCTCTGTCATTTTCACTTTGACATGATGAAGACACATGACTTACAGTAGATGAAAAGTTACAGGCTTGGGCCTAGGACATCATCACCTTGGATGAATAATGACAGGAAGCCGCTGATCACCTCCAGGCTCCAAAATGCAAACTCAAAGCCCGAAAGGACCGTGCCAAGCTAGATGACAAGTTCGCACAGGGACAGCTGGTTCTTTGCCGGGACTTTAATCCACCATTCAAGTTCTTAGGGACCATTCTTCATCCAATAGTGTCTTGGTCACGGTTCTTACACCTAGGCTCTGCCTTCGATTTGATGAGGCAGTCCTGGTGCCATGGGAGACGAGGTTCATGCAAGCAAATTCGCCATACCTACCTCCTTGTGAGTGGAGGGCGCTGGAGATCTCACCCTCCCTCTCTCCAATGATGGCTTTCTCAAGCTCAAGGCCATGTTGCAGCAAGCACCCTATGGAAAGGGTGAGGAAACTTTGCTCGACATTGAGGATGGTCGTGAGCTTCCCCATGCTCATAACCACAGCCAGCTCAAGGCCTTCATTTGGTGACCTCTTTCCTTTCTTTTCATTTTCTTTTCTTTTCTTCGTTGTTTTCACTCATTTCT